TGGCTCTCCGGATGTATGGCTTGGCACGGCGTTTGGTATGGGATGGGGCCTACTTTGCGGTTACTTGGGCGAGTCGTGGGGTTCTGCCTGGGTGCGCTTTGGCGATGCATGCTTTGCAACGCATCGAGTTTCGGAAACTACGCTTGCGATGGACCCATATTAAAGAGCCTAAGATAATACTCATGTTAACCAAAGCTGGTCTAGACAGCGTTCGGCTCATCCTGATCGAAGGCGTCTGCGACGCACGTCGGGGGTGCAAGGCTTGGGATAAACCAGGGCATACCGCTATGCCATCTACTGCACGAGCTAGCAAGTTTAACGAAGAAGTCGAATTCAACCTCATGTTCTAAAAAAACAGGAGCATAAGACATTTAACTGCATTGATCGTTGTATTCGATATGGTACTGGAATGGAAATACCAGATAAAACAATGACCAGTATCTTAGATGCGTATCATCAGTGCTAGATGCAGCTCGGACCTGCCAAGGTACTTTACTCTGATCGGGAGGGTGCTCTCAACAACGACAATGCAAAGGCGGTCCTCAAGGCAAAATGCACTGAGCTGAGGATACGCGCGCGTGGACAACACGCTACGACAATTGAAGCCAGCATTGGCATATTACGCCATCTACTTCATGTCGTGGAGCCTGAACTCAAAAGGTTGGACATACCTTTTGTGTTCACGATACTACTGCACGAAGCCCTGTTCGCCGCCAGCGCATTCACCGTGTACAACGAGGTATCTCCATGTAATGCTCTGTTTGGACGGCAACCAGCAATGCTTCCTTACCTACCTGTTCTGGATCACGAACAGCCAACAGAGACGCGTAACCATTTTCGAGCAGGTGCAACGCAGGGTATGCATTGAAGCTATCACACAGGCTACTGCAGTAGCCAAGACCAATCGCGCGCTACGTACTTAGACGACGATCACCGGTCAGCACTACTACGATCAAGGATATTTGGTCGACTATCATCGCCCCACAACTACGAAGGACGACTGGGGAGGCTGCAACGGCCCGCTCCCGGCTGTACGGAAGGATCCCGACAGGGGTCAAGTCATCATTCGAATGGGAAATCGCGATGTACTAGTCCAATATGGCGACGCATGACTTTCACTTTACATCGAAGCTTCCATAGCCAGAGAGATTGGCTCCGACAACACTGCGCTGCGGACAGTGTTGACAAGTGTTGCCAGACTACCTGCGGGGAGACCTGCTATGACCTCCGGTTATGTCCCGACCCAACAGGGAACGCTTCAGATTACCAGCGCAAGCCGACTATCTCTCGAAGTACATCTGGCGCTGCAATACCTCATCCGAAACTTCTTCCGTATCGAGAATGTAGTTTCCGTTTGGTTAGCTAAGAGTTCACCATCTACCCCCGGTGGCTTATGCTGACAGCTGCGCACTGGTGCAGTATGACAATGTGAATCCAGGTTTCCACGATTATGAAGCAGAAGGAACTGCCCTGAATATTCATGATATAACTGGATCAGTACATTCCAGAGTCACGCAGTGCCTAAAGCCCACTAAACCCCAAGCGGGCTTAGACCAAGATTTGACAAAGTTTGAGGGACTGGCTCACATACCGACAGAAAACGATAACGCCAGAGAGGCCCCAGAAGCATAACCTCCACAGGAGGATGGACGGCTTCCCACGATCTATGAGGAATCAAAAGCGGACCTCGAGGCACGTATAATGGAGGTGTGGTACACAGAATTACATGACGAAAGGGAACTGAACTATTGGAGGCAACTCCATTAGATGACCTATACACTGTACCCACACATATGATTACCGACAACAGTGCGCTGGTCGCTGTAGCTGAAGAACAGCGGGGGCACCTGCCTAAGCGGGGTTTTCCACGCGACTCCGACATCGATCAGACGCATCATGTCCCACTATGCTCTACGGTCGAAGACCGCAGCTACGGATTGGGCTCGAACGAATGGTCAACGCGTGGAACTTGACTTCGCTGCAGACATGTCAAGGGGGGCCCTATCCGGACAGCGGCGCAGGATATTTGATGTCGACCGTGCAACCACCATGCGACTATATACCACCGCCGCCGCATAACGAGCTGCGGTCGTCAAGGAAGACGACGTCCTCGCGAAGGTTGATATCCGGGCGATCCCGAAACTTTATCAAGAACCCTTTATACTGAACTGAAGACATGGTTTGACAACAAGTGTTTCAAAATGCAAGACGTTTATACAGCATCAAACGTTATGACTTCAAGGTACGCATATAAGTGGAAGTTCGTGAAGAATGAGAAGGGCGAGATGAAACGCACCATCAGACTACGCTCGGTTCTTCGGGATTATGGACCTCGAGGCTTTCGACGTGGAAACTATCTCAGGAACAGCACGGTGGCCGAGCCAGAGATTACTCGCAAGCGCGGCAGCGCGCAGGAAGCAATGGCGCATTGCTTGCCTTGCAATCAACATGGATTTCGTGCAAGGGTTAACCTGCCAGGACTTTGCTGAGGCAGCTGGCGTGGCGTGCTCTACCTTGCCGCCTGGGTCGGCAACGGCGCTTCGTTCCCCATCCAGGATTCGAGCGCCACGACGAGTCGATGCACTGCCTGCAGCGCCTCAAGCCAGACACCGGCACTAAGGATGCACCCAGAGCTTTCGCACTGAAGCACAGAAGGACCACAAGAGGCTCCGGTCTCAGACCCACGTCCTACGACGAAGAAGTCGAGACGAGCAGCAACCTGCTCACAGCCAAACATGTTGATGAGATTAATATGGCCGGCGCTGAGGACACCATTGACAAGTGCGTCAAGTGCGTCGAGGACACATTCGGCAAGTGCAAACTCAACAAACATACATGCACCAATTGTGTTGTGAGGTACACAAAGGATGGGGACGGTAATGCTACATTGGACCAAGATGAATACATCAAACAGCTCCGTTCTATACGACATCCTGAACTCACAGGCGCAGACGCCGACGCCAAAGCATCAAAGATGGTTGCTGACATGTTCGTCAGCCTCAGAGGCGCGCTGGCTTACGCCTTAATCACACAAGTGTGGTTGATGGTATATGCGGTCTCTCTACAATATGTCCAAGAACGGGCCAATATACAAGCGCGACGACTGCTTGCGATTACCAGAAAGCTGCAGGCCTGCCTTAAGAAGATCATCTATCAATCGATGACTCCAACGGGCGAAACTGACCTGCCGACGGCGAGGTCAAAGGCCACGGCATTCGCGGGGCAAACCTGCTACGGCGCGGAAGCACGCCATCCGGTAAGCCCGTCGTCCGCTTGATCCATGCGCATTGCATGTCTCACCGCTTGCAGGTCCGCTCAAGCTATTCAGCAGAAACACTTTCAGCAGCCCAAAGCTTGGAGGATTGCTATCCCACGATCGTGACTGTGCACGAGCTCCATGCAGGTCCACTGACACCCACTCAGTTGAAAGATATACTGGAGTTGGGTGGCCTGAGCATCAAGGTCATTTTGGCCATAGACGACGAATGTGTCTTCATGTCCTTGTCAGACAAAGACCTGAAGAAACCGACCGAGCGTATTCTTTTGGGACACATCAGTTGGATACGACAGATGATGGAGCGAGGAATCGTGCATAGCATTCAGGGGTGCGACACTCGCGACATGACCGCGGACGGTCACACAAAGGGGAGCATTGACAGATATCTGTTCCTACAGGTCATGGGAAGCACGCAGTCCTTCAAGCATGACTTAAACCGTCATGCTCCTTATTTGGCTGGCCAGACAACTCTGTTTGAGTCCACCTAAGGAGTAATCGTATGCACAGCAATGTGCTTTCAAGGTAACTTGCTTGCGGGTCGACCTTCCTCTTGGACCCGCCTTTTGCTGCCTTTATGTACATAGTGTTTGCTGTATAGGGGCGGCGGACTCACGCTTCGTCTCCCTCCCCCCCGACTCTAAAGTGAGGTGGGACAAGGGCGAAAGATGGCGAGCGTTTGTCCGCGGCCGTTTGTGTTCAAGCGGCCGGCCGCCAACAGATGATTGTGCCTCACTGCGAGGCATGCGATTCGCCATCGAGACCGAAAACATCCTTCACTTGAGATGTCCCGTCGCTCCCGCGACGACCTCCTACGACTGGGACTATCGCTACTACGGTACAACAGAGCAGGAGCTGTGCTTCGCCTAAGGCGTAGCTTCTGGACGGGCCCACCGGCCCCCTTCAAACTTTGTTGCTTCGGGACGCAGGAATTGAATGAATTACGAGTGTGTGTGTGGCCTCGGGGGCGCGAATACTGCATACTTTACGAGGGATTACGGCTTCGGGGACGCGAATCCCATGTATTTGAACGTGTCACACGCCCCCCCATGAATTCAGAAAACGCGATTTGGCCGTGGTAAATTGGATCCTTTTGGGCTCTTCCCCCTCGCGCGGATTTCAACAGCTTACATTCGGAAGCAGAAAGCAGGACTGCAACACTGGAGACTTGAAGCTGCAACTGGTGCGCGGAGCAGCAACTTCGCCCTACAGCCTGGTGGCCCCGCAAGGGGGCCGGCGGATTACACCGACGATGCCAGACCTGGCAACATCGAGGTATGTTTCGTTTTTTACCTTATCGCCTTCTTGTCTGCATGCCGACTTGTGAGGACGAAAGTGCATGGCGCGGAACGCCAACGCAGTCTTGTATTGTTCGTCCCCCCCACTCCAGGGCTCGCAGGTATACGCTTGTGGCCTCTCCTGATGGCCGACGAGGCCTCCAAGAGAGCCCAACAAAGCCCTGAGACGGCCCAAGAAAGCCCCAGAAAGAGAGCGCCCCGAGGCCCACATCGGGCTCCCGAGACGGCAAAGGGCACTTCCCAGACGGCCTCAGACAGGCCCGAGACGGCCCCAAGACGGCCCGAGAGCGCTGCGAGAGGGCGCACAACGGCTTCTACACGACCGCGGAGGCCTTGAAGACGGCCCAAGAGGCCCCCTCGGAAAATTGTCAGTTTTAGCAGATTTGCTTCTTCGGTCCTGATGGCATCCAAACTTGCCCAAGAGGCCCCCGAGATCGCCCCAAGACAGCCCAAAAGGCTTTCAAGAGGGCCGTAGGAATTTGGGCTCAAGGTGTTCGAGTTTAGTAGCACCGCGTACGACAATCCACTTACTTCTTACTTGACCTTGCCGATGGCCATGGTTGCTGCTCGCGTCCTTGTGGCCGTTTTGCATCTGCGACTTGCAGATGCTATTGGTATCCGCAGGTCCGACACATCCTCGGATATGGACTTTAATAGCGAGACGAAGAGCCAGGGCGGCGTTACGAGTGTGTACGCTGCAGATAAGGCGTACTGGACCGCAACATTGGGCACGATGAACAAGGCAGGCGTCACCCGGTACACAGACGAAGCCATCAAGAAGACCAAGAGGACAGACGGCAAGTTCTTCTGGGGCGACCCCGCCAACCGCGACAGCGAGCAGTCTTACGTTGGCCCGGCGGACCTCACAGCGAACATATCTTGGGGTTGGCACCACCCTGCTGGAGTCTACAGCACCATCCCTGTCGGCAGCCCCCTGATCGACGACGAGCTCAACATCTATATCGGAGCCGACGATGCCATCCGCAAGTTTGACGTTACTGGCGTCATCAAATGGAGCTACGCCCCCCGAGGTCAACTCGCAGCAGCACCCACCCTGTGCACCAGCGGCAGCAGGCGCCAGGCAGCTTCCGAGACGCGCGATGTGAGCAGCCTGAGCCGCAGGGATGCGGAAGACATGTTGCGGCCAGACTGGGCCAACGGCAACGAGGCAGACACCAGGGCTCAGATGTCCAGGGACTTCAGAGTCGGCGACCTCGTCAAGGTAAAGCCTGGTGCGAGCTTTTGGTCGGACGGCAGAGAGCTGTACAAAGCCGGCGATCAGGGTCGCATTGGACGGCGAGGGCGAGGGAGGCAAGGCCGTCATCCAGTGGCAGCGCACTGGGCGCAGCAGCGCGGTGCACCTGCGCACCATGGAGAAGCGCTTCGTGCGCGTGGACACGAAGGAGAGCACGCCGCCCCCCATGCTGGTCGGGAGCACCACCTCCGGGTTCGTGTTCGCGATCGACCTCGCTAGCGGGGACGAGCTGTGGGCAACCTGGGCCGCGAATGAGACCGCTGGCGTGAAGGGGGCTGTGGCTTGCAAGGGCGGAGTCGTTGTGGCAGCAACCAACCGCTGCGTGGACAGGTACTGCTACAGGTACCGCAACCAGACCTACCCCCTCACGCCAGGCAATCAGTACGTGCGCGGCCTGAGTGCGGTTGACGGCACCGCCCTCTGGGAATTCAAGACTTTCCAGCCAGTCTGGAACATGGTTCCGCTGTGGGGCCAGGGCACCAGTGTGTTCTTTCAGGATTGGGAGGGCAGGGTTTATTGCCTAGACTATGTGACTGGCAACCAAATCTTTAGGGTCGGTGGCGACATCGGGACCCACTCCCATGCACACGCCGTTTACGATCCGGGCCACAACGTCGTCGTTGCCCTGGGCGTGAAGCACTACACCGCGGGCCGCTGCAATCCTTATCCAGCGCCTGGCATTGCCCCTTCGCGCGGGACGTGGCCGGGCACAGAGGGCTTCATCCGCGGCTACAACGCCAGTTCCGGCAGGAAGCTCTGGGATGTATCGACGCCAGAGCCGCCGGCCAGCGCCGCCATGGGCATGCTCAACTCCCCTGAGATGCACACCCGCTTGGTGGTCACCCTGGGCTACAATTGTTACCTCGGTGCCACCTCCAAGATCTGGGGCCTCGATCCAAACAACGGCGATTTGCGGTGGAGCATTGGAGGCCCGACGTTGTGGACCAACTATTGCGCAGGCGACAAGGAGGGTGCCGAAATCCGCCGGGCCATGGGCGGCCGTGATAAATGTTCGCCGAATAGTTGGTCCATGCCCGCGATCGATGCGCTGGGTGACGTGTACATTGGCAGCCAGGTCGGCGAGCTGCAGAAGTTGGGCTCTGCGAATCCGGGGCCTGCAGGCTCTGGCGCTGGTCACAGGGTCGAGCTGCTTTCGACGTTGACTACTGGCGTGGCCTTCCAGGATGCAGCTATCGCGTTCGGCCAGGGCGTCATGGCCGTATCCACGTGCACTTCACTCATTGTCTTCCAGTCCTACGCAGAGACCTTCCCCCAAAACGGGACTTGGGCTGTTTCACGCAGTCAATACCCCTCGAGTTCCGACATGGTCCATGGAGACGATGTGGCGCACACGATTTCAGAAGAAAGTTACGCGGGCATCTCAGTGACCCCAAACATTGATTCGGACGACATCTGATCTAACGACGAGCCGTTCTACGATCCGAACATTGACGGTCATACCTACAACCGAAAGGGGAAAAAGAATTAACACGCCCTGATTTGTCGACGAACCGGGCACTGGTAAGTAGCAAATGTTCGGGCCCAGCGCGCGTATCAACCATGCGTTCTCCGCCATGCGGGGATTTTCCTTCCTGCGTGTAACTGTCAGCTCCTAAGCCCCTCAGGCGCCAAACTTCCTGAAAAAAATAGACTTCCAAGGGGGCTCCAAGACGCTCCGTCCCAAGGGAGCCCAAAGAAGACCGTAGGAGGCCTCCTCGACGGCCCAAGAGGGCCCCAAGACGGCCCAAGCCCCCCATGACGACCCAAGAGGGCCCCAGGACGGCCCAAGGGGGCCCCCAGCCGGCCAAAAGGGCCCCAAAAGAACCCCCAAGAAGGCCCAGGAGGCCCGCAGAGACTCCCAAAATGTATCCAAACTGCTCACAGGAAGCTTCCCAAGGCTTCAAGAGGTCCCCGACTCACGATCCATCTCAGGGCTTCAAGAGGCCCTTCAGGAAGACGCCGCCAGACCCCGAGAGGCACCAAAGACGCTCCGAATTCACGATCCGGGTCAGGGGTGTGCCGACATGGGCGAGGCGGCGGGATGCGAATTTTGGCTCTGGGGCCGGCGGAGCAACCCCTTGTGGGGTACGGTCCGTGTGAGGAGACAGTCGACATACGCGGGGGGACGTGACGTTATGCGAATCATCGCGCTATGACCGCACATGAAACTACATCCCTTTGGGGCACCATCTGCGTAATGGGTGTGCGGAGGTGGGCGGAGCGACGCCGTGCGAATCTTGAACCCGCAAGTGGAGCTCCCGGGGAGGCACGATCCGTGTGAGGGTCGTGCCGAAATTGACGGGGACGCTATGTGAACCTTGCCTTCCTATGGGGCCATAGGATCTTCGCTTACATTCCTTTTCAGCTTTCCCACAACCCACTTATCCTCCTCCCCTCCCCCATCCTTCTCCTCCTCCTTCACCTCCTCCTCCTCCTCCTCCTCCTCCTCCTCCTCCTCCTCCTCCTCCTCCTCCTCTTTCTTCTCCTCCTCCCCCCAAGTGCCCGCGCTGCGGAGACCGCGAGGAGTTCCTTTTGCATCGGGCTTGGGAGTGCCCCAGCAACAAAGAGGCTCCTGCCTGTGGGAAGTCGGAGCATTCGCTTTCCCAGGCCCGTGCGGGCCACGAGGCCAACGCGAGTCTCTGGCTGCGCGGGCTCCCGCCTCGAAGCTTCACGTGTCCTGATTTTCGGGATGGGGGCGAGGACGTGGAGTGGGAGGCGGGGGACGATCTGGAGGCCACGCTCGACCCTCGTCGAGAGGATGGCTTGCTTGTCGTACTTGGAGGCGGCTCCAGTGGGCAGTGCAGCAGTGACCCTCGTTGCCGAAGAGTGGGCGCGGCTGCGATCACGCTGGCGCCTGCCTCTGGAGGCTGGCAGCGGGCCCGCGGTTTCGCCAGGCGGCGGCGGGGGAGGGGGGCGCCCATTCAGTACTGCAGTGAGCACCGAAGAAACCATAGTGATGTCCTCACTGCGTCGATCAGAATTGCGGCTGCGACGACTGGGGCGATCCGAATGCTCTGGGCTCTGGCCCGAAAAATCTCGGCGGAAGTTTTTCATAGCTTTGGTCGGTTAGAAATCAGTTTCTCGAAATTTGACCTTTCGTTCGAGTTTCGCCACGACCCTGGGGGGTCGCCGTCAAACGGCGCCCGGAGCCGAGATTCGAGCGTTTGAGCTCGCTCTCCGCAGGCGTTCTGGCCCGCTGGGTTCTGTCACGGACAACGCCGCCCTCCACGGGGGACGGCACTCCAGACGGCATGAGGGATGCAAAGTCCCTCACTCGGACCTTCGGTTTCGAGTCCGAGCCGCTCTCGCGGAGAGGGGAGAGGGGGAGGTCCGGGTTGTGTGGTACCCTTCGCACGTTGACTCTGAGGACCCCCCCTTCCTCTCAGGAGCGTTGTGTACGCCACGGGCAACGGTTTTGCCACACCCTCGCTGGGGAGGCTGCTCATTTCTCCTGGGCCCATGGCCTTCACGGCCAGGGGAGGGGCCCCCCGACACTGACGTCTGGGATTGTACGGCGGCGCTGGTCATGCGCCGAGCGGCCAGAGCCATGGTGAACTCCAGTGTTGCGCCTTGGGGCCCGCTTAGCTTCGACAAGAAGAGGTACGCTCTCGACCCGCGGATCCAAGAAGTTGCGCCCTGGTCCGCCGTGGGGCCTCCCGAGGCGCGTCGGGTTCCCGAAGGCCTCTCGGTGGCCCTGCGCAGGAGTGAGCTCGGTTCGCGCCGAGCGGAAGCGGCTCTGCTCCTTGTGCCACACGGTCGCTCCTCTGTCACCGGCGGCGGGGTCTGGCACGACGCCGTGTTATGCGGCAGCCCAGGGCTTCTCGGGTCTGGCTGACCACGGGGTGGTGCGGGCCAGCGGAGGGGCGACGATTGGTGGGAAGGTGCGTCGCTCCTCTCATACTTTGCATGTCTGGCCCAAGCTGGGACCGCACTTTCGTGTGGCGTGCGGCAGAACGGCCACGGCGGACCCACGCGATTTAGTTGCCGAGCGCAGCACCCGCACCAAGAAATGTCAGAGGATTCAGAGAGGGTTGTTCCTCAGCCACCGGGGGCCGTCCAGGGCGTCTCTGGCCAGGGAGCTGGGCATTGTCAGGCGGGAGGTCGCCCTCCGTGGGCCGCTGGCTGGGGGTCTTCGTTGGCTGAGTTCGCTGCCACCGTGTGGACATCAGCGAATTCCGGCGCATTTGTCTCCTCCATTTCTTCCCCTTCTGAAAAATTGTTCCCTGTCGCACCCCGTTGCCAGTTTTTAGGGCGGGCTGGGCGTTTCGCGCAATATGTCCTCACCACTTATGATTTTGAAAAACATTGGCAACAGATTCACAGATGGAGGGCGCGTGGTTTTCAAAATGTGGTTCTCGCCGCAGCGCCGTGCACATTCGCTTTAAAAGCTTGCAAGAGCTTCAGGGATTGAAGGCGATTCGTTTTCAAAATGTGGCTCTCGCCCCGGCGCCGCGCACATTCACTTTACAAGTTTGCCAGAGCGAGTCGTTTTTCCCTACCTAGGCTCTGCCTAGAAGGGTTCTTACTCTCTTTGCTTAAAGGGCCGGGCAATGCTAACCGCCCCGGGCGGTTCCCCCAGTCCCCGCCCCGCGGTTCCCCCAGTCCCTTGGGAGCTTTAGCCTTAGCTTTAGCTTTAGCTTAGCTTTAGCTTTAGCTTTAGCTTAGCTTTAGCTTAGTGTTAGCTTAGCTTTAGCTTAGCTTTAGCTTAGATTTAGCTTAGATTCAGCTTAGTGTTAGCTTAGTTTTAGCTTAGCTTTAGCTTAGCTTTAGCTTACCTTCAGCTTAGTTGTAGCTTAGCTGTAGCTTAGTGTTAGCTTAGCCTTAGCTTAGCTTTAGCTTAGATTTAGCTTAGATGTAGCTTAGCTTTAGCTTAGATTTAGCTTTGTTTCAGCTTAGTGTTAGCGTAGATGTAGCTTAGCTTTAGCTTAGATTTAGCTTAGCTGTAGCTTAGCTTTAGCTTAGCTTCAGCTTAGTGTTATCTTAGCTTTAGCTTAGTGTTAGCTGACCTTTAGCTTAGCTTTAGTTTAGCTTTAGCTTAGCTTTAGCTTAGCTTTAGCTTAGCTTTAGCTTAGCTTTAGCTTAGCTTTAGCTTAGCTTCAGCTTAGCTTTAGCTTAGCTTTAGCTTAGCTTTAGCTTAGCTTTAGCTTAGCTTTAGCTTAGCTTTAGCTTAGCTTTAGCTTAGCTTTAGCTTAGCTGTAGTTTAGCTTTAGCTTAGCTTTAGCTTAGCTTTAGCTTAGCTTTAGCTTAGCTTTAGCTTAGATTTAGCTTTAGCTTCAGCTTAGCTTCAGTTTAGCTTTAGCTTAGCTTTAGCTTAGCTTTAGCTTAGCTTTAGCTTAGCTTTAGCTTAGCTTTACTGTTACTACTAATGCTGCTTCCCTAGGGGCTCCAACTCCTAGGTAGGGTCGCACTGGGATAATTTTAATGTGGCTCTCGCCTTAGCGCCGGGCACACTAGTCTTAAAACTTTGCAAGAGTATCACGAATTGAAGGCGTTTCCTTTTCAAAATGTTGCTCTCGTTTTAGCGTTGCGCACCTTCGGTTAAAAACAGTTCAAGGGCTTCAGAGGTTCCCATGATCAACGTATCAGAAATGGTGTGTGAGAGGGACTCAGGCTTATGAGGGAACACAAGGCATGTTGATTCGCAGTGTTCCAGTCTCAGGAAGGGGTTTCTGGGAGAGTTTGTTCCAACATCGTTGATGCTTCGTGGGTTTACACTGGTCCTCCTCCGGCTCCTCCTCCTCCTCTCCTCCTCCCCCTCTTCGTCCTCGTCCTCGTTCTCCTCCTCCTCCCCCTCCTCCTTTTCCTCTTCCCGGCCCTTTGCAATGATGGTGATGATCCCACGTTGGGGAACGGCCCCAGGAACCAACATTTGGCGTTCAGGTTTCTCTAACTCCGCTCCAGTAGGGAAGCGGCCCCAGGGGCCAAAATCTTAATTGTGTTATGTGTTCAGCTTCAGTAGCCGAGCGGCCCTGGGAACCAGAGCATGATGCTCACTTTTCTCAACTGCTCCGATCTGAGACCGATCTTTTGCAGTGATAATTTCACGCCTTCCTCCATATCCTCCTCTTCCTCCTGCCCCAGATGATCTTCCCTTCTTTGCATTGCCGCCCTTGTCTCCTCCACGGACCTCGCGCGTGTATGATCGCCCGCGACTCTGGGAGTTCTCCCGTCACCAAGGCTACACTGCGTTTCAAGTGGTGGCGAAACCGCATCGTCGGCAGGTCCAGGAATCCAGTTTTTCGGGCGGTCGTCGTCGTCGTCGCCGCCGTCGTCGTGGTCGTCGTCGCGGTCGTACTTCGCTCAGCCCGCCCGCGTGCCGGCTGGGCTCGGCCGGCAGACATGGAGAAGATGAGGAAGGGCAGAAGGAGGAGGGGGCGGAGGAAACGGAGAATGGAGAAGGAGGAGGGGGGGAGGAACACGGAGAAGAAAGAGGACGGATTTCAGTGGGACAGGTGCTCTCGCCGCGGCGCTGGCCACATCCTTCATTCAGCATGGTGCTGCCGCTGCGCTCGCGTTGTGTGCAACACTTCGGCGATGGTGCTCTCGCCCATCCGCAGCCGCATCCTGGCGCATGGGCGGAGCACCATTCTCCCATGATGGCCGTGGGAACCGTGCGAGTGGAGCGGCATCACAATAGTCACCGGGGATGTGGCTGGCGCTGCGGGAAAAGTACCGCACTTCATGAAGGATGTGGCCAGCGCGCAGACGGCAGCATGGCTCCCAAACAGGGATGGGGCCAGCGCTCGGGAGAGAGGGCCAATCCCAACCAGCATTGGGGCTTGTGCGCGAACGGCAGCATCATCTGCAATGGGGGGTGTGGCTGGCTCTGAGGCGACAGTGCCGCTCGTATTGGAGAGAATGGCCAGTTCTGGGGTGGCTGCGCCAATCCTGGATCAAGCGGGAATAGTACTTTCGTCCAAGCCTCGGCTACATCCGCCTTTTGAAAGCGCCAACCCCAGCGCGAGACAACTGACGACCGCAGCTGCCTTCCCTTCGTGCTGGGCCAGTGCCGAAACTGGCTATCGGTTTGGACGAAACGCGTCGGGTCCGTTGCCAATCGGGGTTGCGCCAGGTCAGCCTCCCCGACGTCAGGTTCGGGGATGGGTTGTAGCAACTGATCGGCTACATCAACGCGCTAACCGCAGAGTCAATAAAAAATGTAGGTGCAAGGATCAATATTCGAAGGCGAAGCATAGCGAGCCTCAAAATCTTGTGTAGATATACACACGTCAATATTGCCTTCGAGAGGGACCGCATGTCCATTGTTGGCGGCCACCCGAATAGGAAACGGGGTGATTAGGTAAGGAAGGGTCGGAGTGGATGGGGGGGATGGAAAGCACGCAAAGCATGGTCTGCCGCTTGGGCGACGCTTGTGCTTGCCGATCTCACTTGCCAGCAGACGTAGGGTTCATACGTGGGCCGTTCCAGGCGCCCTACGTGTGAACCAAGGTGAGGCCATGCTGATGATATGGCAAGCACACAGAGGGTGTGCTTAGCAAGTCGTGCGCATGGCCTTGCTACTCCTGCCCACCTCTCGCCCACCACCGTAAGCTCTCCACCTCAGTCTCGCCGGCGGTTGGGGTCGGACTCCTTCGCGGAGCTGCGATTCATGCCTGAGACGGGTGGAGTCACAAACAATATCTGTGCGCGGCGCGCGACAGCCAGACCAGGCCGTGGTAGCGCGTATAAGCTCGAGACACGGTGGAAGAGTAATAGGCCGTGGCCAGCGGGTTGAACCTTGAGATACGATACAGGAGTAAGAGGCGGAGGCGTAGGCGGCGGAGGCGGGGGGTGGAAGCGGAGGGGAAAGGGAAGGGGGAGGGCGAAGAGGCCGAGAAGGGCGGAGACGGAGGACGAATAGGAAGAGAAACACGAGAAGGACGAGAACGAGGAAGGCGAATGGAGGAGCAAGAGGGGCAGAGGGGGTCGAGGGCGTGAAGGAAGAAGCCAGCGAGGAGACCGATAACAATGAGGACGAAAGGGAGGAGCATGAGGAGGAGGAAAACGAGAAGGATTGAGAGAAAGAAGAGGAAGAGGATGAGTACGACGAAGACGACGGGGGGGGAGAGAGCTCCCTCCCCCCGCCATTCCGCGCGCAGTCGTGGTGCTGCCAGCGGACGCGGCGCGCCTGCCCGACAAAGAGCGAGCTGAAGTACGACTGCTACGCCGGCCCGCGCTGACCGGGGAGATGGGCGCGGTGTTGTGTTTTGTTCTCGTTATCCCGCTCCGCGACCCACCATCGACTCACCAGCGACCCGTCCGCGACCCACCAACGGCCCACCAATACTGAGCTGCAACAAGACCACACAGCACCCGCGGTGTGCCCCTTGGCCTCCCGCTTCCCTTGTCCATATTGACACTGTTTTGCTGTCTGCCGAATGTGTTTCCCTTTGAGACCACCTTTGCCCGGCGTCCTCGCGCCACCCTGCAGTGCCCCGCGACACCTCGGTTCCAGGCCGCTTGCCCGCCTTTTTAGTGTAAAGTCTGTGCAGATATACAAATGCACGCGCATGCACGCATAGCATGTGCTTATCAACATATTCCGCACTGCCTTGAGAGCCGCCGACGACCCCCGCCCCTGCATTCTTATCCACAAGAGAAAGGGAAGATGTTTCAGTGCATGTGAATTCTGTTCAATCGCAACGCAGGTTTTTATAGTGCGAGCACATGAACAAATACAAGCTTCACGAACACTAGCACATGTAGTAATAGTGGAGGGACTAACAGATGAAAGTGCGGTCGCCGCTCTATCATCGTCATCATCGTCGCCGTGGCCATAGTAGCCCAAGCTGCCAGTTATTCAAATCCATCTTTGCCGATGCATCTTCGGTTTCGAATTATTGTGTGCTTGAGCGCAGAAAGAGTGGAGGCTGTGCCCCAATCCTCGGTCATAAAGGGGTGCTGGGCAGCTACGGTCAGGATCCCACGGGCGGGCGGCAAAGCTCAATTCCCAGCGGACCCAACGAGGAGAGGCAATCAAGGCCAGTACATGTTTGTCGAGACCGAATTTGCAACTACCAGAGGAATGCAACGAGCAGGGCAAGGTTGGCCATTTGGAGAAGAACTTGAGAACCCAACCAAGAGGGGCAACTAAGGCCAGGATCGCGTGGGCTCGCCCATGTGGGCGATTCTGGAGCACACAGCAAACAGAGCGAGTTGCGGCCAGGCTTTGTTGGGCGAGGCCCTAGGTGCAAGGGCAAAAGGATCCATCGTACGGATGGCAAACACAGACAGGACAGCATGGGCGGGACACAATGTGTGGTAAATTAGCGGAGGACATAAAGAAGAGGGATAATTGAGGCCAGGTTTTTGGATGCCTTTATGGACCTATGGAGAACTAACAGCGGGCCTAATAGAGAGGCCAACTAGTACAGGCCGGGACCCTCCTATGGACGTGAGTTTGCGGGCAAGCACCAGGGAGGCCGACGAAAAGGGGCAATGAATGCCAGGTCCGCTCAGGTGAAACTCCAGATTCCCGGATAGCTCTTTGGAGAGTTAAGCTGGTTTCATATTAGAAGTTGGCAGCGCAGGGTAATGACCAGTTTCCTCTCCACGGCTCCCGGGCAGGAATCGTCGCAGCGAGGGAAGGGTTGTCTTACAAGCCTTTGCGCAGCTACTTCGCAGCTCTTTATGGCCTCTTTCGTAGGTCCTATTTAAAACTTGCGAGCCCTCCAGGCATCCTTTCGAAGCCTCCTTGCAAGCGTCTCGCACAAGCTTTCTCCCAGATAGCTCTTGGAGAGCTGAGAGGGCTTCATACTAAACGACGGCAGCACAGGGCAGCCCCAGAGTTCGTTGCGGCGCTGGTCAGGGATCCCCGCAGCGGGTTGCCGGAAGTCGCAGCGTGTCCCGGAAGCGTGTTCTTAAGATGTGTGCCGCAAGCTTTTGCGCAGCTCCTTCGCAGCCGTTCTCGGGTTCCCGTGGAGCTCCTTTCTCAAGCTTGCAAGTTCCCCTGACATCCTCTGAAGCGGTTTCGCAAGCGTCCCCCGCAAGCTTGCACGCGCCTTCGCCTGCTCCGCTATCCAGGTTTTGGACGCCACAGGTAGCAATTGCCAGCGAACCCAACGAACGGGGGCAGCTCAGGCCAGAACGCAGCGAAACTCAAGCAAATTGGCTGAATCAGTTGATATACAGATGGTGCCCTTAGTGCAAGCACTGTTTGGGGAATCGTCGAGCAGCAACATGACACCGACTGGCAGTTGCGGCGAAGAAGCAGGCTAGGCATTGAGATCGAAGGGTTCGACGAAGTACACATGACAGCCAATCAGAGAGATTTGGGATGTCGAATGGCCAACCCGCACCACCTACCTCTGAGCGTGGTGTTGTATCTCTGCCTTTTTCTCCCCTCTCCTCGTTTCGTCCTGGCAGGGCCCTCTTCCTATGGGGGGCGAGGCGCGCACGGTTTGCGCCGGATTCTGACAGCGGCAGCAGCAGTGGCAGTGGCAGGGCAAGCAGCAGGAGCAGCAACAGCTGCAGCTACAGCAACGACAGTGGCAAGAAGGAGAGGAGGGGGTGCCGGAGCAATGGGTAGTCGCGCGGCGCAGCGGAGAGAAGGCGAGGACCCAGTTCCACAGGAGGGCACACGGAAACCAGACTCGTTGTCGGCGCTCCTCCGGGGTAGCCTCTCTGAGGCCCCTGGGGCGCTTCTGAGGGCCAGGCATGCAGCCCACCGCGCCGCGTGGGAGCGCCATGCTTCGATGAGCCCGCGCGGCGCCACAGCAGCGAAGGGGGGCGGGAGGGCGAGGAGGCGAAGGAGGGCGACGGGGAAACGGGGGGAAGGGGGAGGGAGAGGGGCAGACGACGGCAGAAGCGACGTCGGCGGCCCTCTGAAGTGGAATCCCTGCAGGCCTCGACAACTGGCAGCTCGGCTGGAGTTCATCGAAGAAGGCCATGGCGGGGGGCGTCGAGCAGGAGCGGGAGCGATGCCAGGGCAGAGGCTCTACCGCCGAGGTTGTCAGTCGCCGATCTGGGAGCGCGGCCGAGGAGGAGGAGGAGGAGGAGGAGGCGGAGGAGGCGGAGGAGGCGGAGGACGCGGAGGAGGAGGAGGAGGAGGAGGAGGAGGAGGCGGAGGAGGAGGAGGCGAAGGAGGAGGAGGAGGAGGAGGAGGCGGAGGAGGAGGAGGAGGAGGAGGCGGAGGAGGCGAATGAGGAGGAGGAGGGAGGAGGAGGAGGAGGAGGAGGACGAGGAGGCCTCGCGGCTCCCGCGTCCCCAGCGGTGGGGGGGGGGGGGGGGCGGCAGCCGCGCGCTTCCCCCGGCGAGCGCGCACCCTGCTGCCCGCCCCCGCCCCGCGGCTCCTGCGGGAGGTCTCCCCCTGCTCGCTCCCGGGGGCGCCTCCCTTTGCCGCCTCGGCTTTCCTGGCCGCCCTCCATCCCTCTCCCATGCGTCCCTCCTCCCCCCCTTTCCCTCCCCCCCCTGCCGCCTGGTCCCTCCTCTTCCCTTTGCCGCCTCGGCTTTCCTGGCCGCCCTCCATCCCTCTCCCATGCGTCCCTCCTCTAGGGGGAGGGAGAATGACGTAAACATAAGAACTCGGAGGTCCGCGCGAATTTCTCGGATCGGCGCTGGACCCCCCTCCCTGGCGCGCGGAGCGCGCCAGGGGCGGCGCCAGAGGCGCCGCCAGGGGGGTCCAGCGCGGATCCGCGAAATCCGCGCGGACCTCCGAATTTTTATGTTTATGTCATTGTTCGTTCTCCTGTCCTCCCCCCTTTCCCTCTCCCCCCTGCCTCCTGATCCCTCCTGTTCCCTTGGCCGTCCCTTGCCTCGTCCCACTCCCCCCCCCCTCCTCCTGCGCACGGCACCGCGGGCGACACGTCTTCGGCGTCTTGGCTCGGCACATGCACGAGGATGGCTGACAGGATGGAGCCAGGAGAGCAGTCAGAGCAGGCAGAGTGAGGCAGGTGCGGGTGGCCTGCATCGCCGCGGAGTGCGGCTCCACACCTCCCACCCCGCCCGCAAAGGGGGCCTAGCGGAGCGCAGAGGTGAGCGAGGTACGACTCGGGAGGCATGAACTCTCCGCACTTCTCAAGATGGCCCTGACGTGCAACGGATTCGCAGAAACACGCGACCAGGACCCTGCACACACCAGGGCGGCCAGGTTAAGCCCGCGACACGACACCCGCCTGCGGCATCAAAGGCCAGCCACATCCGTTCACCAGCGCCAGGCACACCAAGATGGAGAAGTCGGACGGACACACGTGCTGGCTTCTCCATTGGTGCACAAGCCGGCACATCTCACACTCGACAACAAGCTTGTGATCAAGTGAGCCTCGGGCAGTTCCGAGAAGGATGGGACGGAGACGGAGGGCTTCGGGTTCGCAGTTTCCAGGCAGGAAGCTGCGCAGGCCGTTTCCACAGGCAGCGCAAACATGAAGGCCACACGCAGCTCTTGACTGCTGTGCCAGCGAGGCCCTGGGGCACAGCCAGCAACAGAGCGAGCAGGCTTGGGCCCTCGCCGGGGGCGGGGGCGCTCCAGGCACGTCGACCTCCGAGCGCACATGTCCATGTGATCTAGCTGGGCACGGCTGCTGGACGGACGGACCTCGAGCACATGAGATGGGATCCCCAGCGGCATGGCCATCCCCTCTGGCCACCACTCCTCGAGCCACCCCCTCGAAGTGCGCAGTACAACGGGTCTCGACACCTCGGGAGATGCGGCCATCCTGAGTTCAATCGGAGCAGGCACGCATCCAACGCGTTCCACGGCCACGGGCAATCCAAGAGCGGAAGCCGCACCTCTCAAGCCATGTCCGACAACATGCGACGGGAGAAGCGTAGCTTTATCCTCACAGTACCCTTCGTACCGAAGGATCCAAGGCAAAAGGGTGCCGATGTGCCTTTCGAGATCTATCTGCTGTGGAGCAGAGGCGGATCGACGGCCATTACATTCGCAAGGCAACTCCGAGACCCATGCCGAGATGCTTGGAAAGCTTGAGCTTAGTACGAGTAGCAGTCGCTCTGCGGTTGATCGGGAGTTTCTTTCTTTCTATATATATATATATATATATCGGGGGACGTGGCCGGGGGGTCCCGCCCAGGGACCTCGGCAGGGCATGGGGGGCCCGGGGCCTTACTTCCCCTGTGTTTAATTCGGCCACCCGGAGCTGCGCGCTGGGGTCTCTGACACGCCGCACGGCCTCGAGGATTTCCACGGCCATTCGGTCATTGAAGCGGTCGGGGTTGCCGAAACGCGTGCTGTTCATTATGCGGAAGGCCTGGTCGATGTCGGCGGCCGCCAAGACCCACTCTGGCAAGATGTTTCTGCGAAGTAGTGGTTTTGGCGCGCGTTGCTCGCGTCTTTTGTGGAGCTTCGCCAGCAAGTGTTGGAAGATGGGGAATGTGATGGTGGTGATCTCCCCGTGCGGTAGTTCTTCCCTAGGGCACTGCGCTTCCCGTTGTCGACGTCGCACTCGCTTTTCTCGCTTTTGCTGCCCTACCAGCAGCGCCGCCAAGCCGACCCCTTTCACGTAACCTATCCTGCAAACTGCGGCACTTCCAACACCGTCCCCGTTTAGTGAGTTGGTGCCTAGGGTGCGTCGTGCAGATGCGGACCTTCGGTCGGTTCGGCGTCGAAGCATGGTGCTGGAGGTTGCTGCCCCCACTGTCGGCTTGGGCTGGCATGGCCAGTGCGGAGGCGATCAGCGTTTGCAACGCGTTTCCATGGTTGCGGCATTGGGCATTCGCAGTGGGGGGCGGCACCACGTGGAGGATGAATTGGGGACGTGGAGGAGGACGACGAGCACGAGGAAGACGAGGTGAGGAGGAGGGACGATGAGTGGGAGGAGAAAGGTCCGGGTGGACAATTCAGGTGGGGACGGTTGGGGGTGGAAAGTGCTCTGAGGGAGGGTGGGTGAAGAGACGCGGGCGAGGAGGGTGGAAGGCTGGGGAGGAGGCTTCAGCAGGAGGCGCGGAGGGACGGATTGACGGCGTAGACGATTCGGCGCACGAGTGCGCACGCAACCTCTTGGGGGTCCGCGGACGAGAATACCTCGGGCAGGTTTCGTCAGATATGCCGTAACTCATGTGGGGAGATGTCAGGGGTCGTTGCTGGCTGTTCGGTGGATTTCAGAAAATTAACACGGAACGCACACCTTGCGAACATTTCTGTGTTTGGCCTTTCCGTGTCTCTCGGGGTGGGGGGTTTGGGGTGGTTCTGGTGGTTTGATTGTTCTGGGATTGTTCTGGTTCGTCTTGGGGGGATTTGGCCGTGAAGAGGTCGTCGTCGGGGCCTCTGGGGGCTCTATTGGGGCTCGCGGCGGCCGCGGCCGCGGGGAAGGCCGTCCGGCATACAACTTTCGAGGGCTCTTGGGTTGTTTTGGGGGCCTCTTGGGGGCCTCCTTGGGGTCTCTTGGAAGCCTCTCGGGGCCTCTTGGGACGTTCTTGGCGCCTCCTGGGGCCCTCTCGGGGCAAAAAGTTAGAATTTGAAAGTGTTGGTCGCCCTCTTGGGGCCTGCTCGGGGCCCTCGTGTGCCCTGTTGACCTGTCATAGGGCCCTCCAGAGCCGTCTTGGGGCTGTCTTGGGGGCCTCCAGGGCTGTTCTGGGGCGCTCTTGAGGGACTATTGGGCCGTCTTGGAGAGTTGAAGAGTCGAGAAAACAAAAACGTCGAAAAACACAATGGGAAATCGATGATTTTGGCCCCTCGGGGCTCTCTTGGGAGGCCGTTTGGGAGCTTCTTGGGGCGTCTTGAAAGCGTCTTGGGCTGTCTTGGGCGATCTTGGGTCCTCTCGGAACGGTCTTGGGCCGTCCTGGAGCCTTCCTGGAGCACTCGTGGACCTCTCTGGGACCGGTCGTGGCCCGTCCTCGCTGTATTTTCGGGCCGGCTCCGAGCAGCCCTAGGATCATCGGGGGTCATCGGGGGGGACCGAATTTGGTGCTGGTCGTCCGGGGGAGGGGGTTCCCCAAGCTAGGTGCGCTCGCGTCATATCTGACGTCCTACCCCTCCCTCCCATCCCTTGCCATGGCGCTGATTTTCTCAATCCGCGGACGCGTGTCGTAGCGGACCTGTGGCTCCGCGCGCGCGTGCGTAGTGGGTGGTGGTGCACGTGCGTGCGTGCGTGCGTGCGTGTGTGCGTGGTTGTGGTGGGTGCTGGTGCTGGTGCTGGTGCTGGTGCTGGTGCTGGTGCTGGTGCTGGTGCTGGTGCTGGTGGTGCTGGTGGTGGTGTGGTGGTGGTGGTGGTGGTGGTGGTGGTGGTGGTGGTGGTGGTGGTGGTGGTGGTGGTGGTGGTGGTGGTGGTGGTGGTGGTGCGGCGCGGTGGTGGCGGGCGGATGGGCGCGCGAGAAAGAGGCCCGCGCTGGGGCGAGAACGCCATCCTGAACGACGGAGGCCAAACACCGATCCGACAATGAGGCCCACGCTGCAGCGCGAGCACGATTCGGAACGATTCGGGAGCAGAAATGAGGCCGGCGCCTCAGCGAGAGCATCATTTTGAAAAAAACCTGGCGAAAACCCGTTTCCCGGGAATCTTGTGTGTAAAAAACAATACGCGGGGGGCGTTCGGCCCGAAAATGACGCCGGCGCCTCAGCGAGAGCCGTTTCCCGGGATTTCCCGGGAATCCTGTGTTTAAAAAACAGTACGCGGAGGGTGCGCGGCCATCGCCCGGACGCCATCAGGAGAAGAGGGAGAGTATTTTCATATTGAGTAATTGTGAATCGTGTGATAGGGGAAAGGAATCTGAGAAGGGGCTCTCACGGGAGGTGGTGGTGCGGCGGGTGAGGATGAGGAGAACGAGGATCAGCAAGGCGAAACTCGCGAGGGGATCAGGCGAGTGAGAGTGACGCGGTTCAGGAGCAGGTGAGCGTGGGGCAGGAGCGTGAGGATGTGGAGAACGAGGGCCAGGAGAGCGAGGATCAGGATAATGATGATCAGCAAAGGGTGAGGATCGGGCGAGTTTGGAGCAGGAGAGGCAAGATCAGCAGGGTGAGGATCGGCAGAGTGAGAATCACGAGACGAGCGAGGATCAGGATAATGAGAATGAGCATTAGGAGGGTGAGGATCGGGATCGCGAAGCAGAAGGGTGAGGGTGAGGAGAGCGAGAATCAGGAGAGTGAGGATCATGAGGGTGAGGATCAGAAGGGCGAGGGCCATGAGGGGGGCCATCAAGAGGGTGAGATTCAACATTGCGAGGAGCTACCTTATGACTCCTCCTCCTGCTCCCTCCTCGTCCTCCTCCTCCTCCTCCTCCTCCTCCTCCTCCTCCTCCTCCTATTCCTTCTCATCATCATCATCATCATCATCATCATCATCATCATCATCATCATCATCATCATCATCATCATCATCAGCAGCAGCAGCAGCAGCAGCAGCAGCAGCAGCAGCAGCAGCGGTAGCAGCAGCATCAGCATCAGCATCAGCATCATCATCTTCTTCCTCCTCCACCTGAAGGGGGGCCTCCGTCGGCGAGCGATCCGGCGACCTTGCGAGGATATCTCGATCGAGAGCCCCAGACTGGGACACGCCCAGCGCGCCTGGCGCGCCTGGCGCGCTCCTCCGACATGGCCCCTGGGGGCGCGGCGGGGCTTGGCTTCCTCACGCGCCGTGGGGGGGCGACTCTGCGAGGATGCCTCGAGCGTGAGCCCCCGGACTGGGACACGCCCAGCGCGCCCGGCGCGCCCGGCGCGCTCTCCTCCGACATGGCCCCTGCGGGGCGCGGCGGGGCCTGGCTTTCTCACGCGCCAGGGGGTT